TATTTGGTACATGATTAATTTTTAGTTAATGTTTCCTGCATCACTTTAGATTGTTATAAGATTGGGGAATTATTTTGAGTTCTAATTTCAACAAAAAAAGGAAAAAATGATTTTCAACATCTAGTTTGCACGAGGACGTGCAAAAGTCTAAGTGTGGGGGTATTTGTTGAGACACAAAATATCATATTTTTATTCCCTCACTTCTTAGCATTTTTTAATACAACTCATGTGGATTTTATACCTAAATAATCATATTATGTTCTATTTAGCATTTTAGGGTATTGTTTACATTTTATACAAAAAATGCATGATTTTTAGCATATTTATTCTACAAATACTTTGGCTCTTAAAAATAAGATACAGAGTGAGGAGTAATGGAGAAGCGCAGGGAACAGAAATGTCCACACGCAAGATCGGAAGAGTAGATTTCTTCTCCAAATCCATCTCTAATTCCTCAAATCCTACTCCTAATTGAAGACTTGGAGACTTAAAATTGAGCAACTATAAAAGGAGACAAAAGCCACAAGAAAAATCATCTTCTTCAACTCGAAAAGAAGATCGGAGACGAGCCAAACAGATCGAAGCAGAGGGAAAGAAGACCCAGCCTAGGGTACCGACCCTAGGTCTGGCGGCGACGGTAGGACGGCGGCCATGTTTTGTAGCACCAACTAGTTTGGCTCTGGCCGGTTCTGGGCTTCTGTGCACCAAGCGAAGAACACACTTCTAGGGAACATTACTTTTACTTTTCAATTTGATTTCTATGAATTAGGATCTTGAATTTGTTTAATTTCAAAATTGATGAAATTGATTTCCAATATTAAATATGTTATTTTCAAATCTTATTTTTGTGTTAAATGTTTAAGTTATAATATAAGTGATGAATTGTTTAAGTGTTGATGTTTAATTGTTGAAGTTATGATTTATTGATTCATTATTGTCTGTGAAATTATAAAACCTTCTTAAGCCGAATTGTTTGATAAAAAAAATTGAATCTTTGTTTGTTGAATTAATTTGACTTTGAACATATTTTAGCTCTATGCTACTGTTAAATCTAAACTCGAAAAGGTGTTCTAAGAACTATTATTCATCAGATTTTACTTAAATTGGACCAAATTAGGAACGCGCGCCTAATCCAGTTTAAAATGTTATTCTTTTTGTCCAACTTTCTCCAAATTGAAATCCGTTTGCACCGCCGCGATCACAAAGTTGAATTCTATTCAACGATATACTTTTCATTATTATTTGTAATACTTTTTCTGACATCATATTTTTGGGTGGTTGACTTTGACAGAGTCAAAATTGATTCAGTTGACTTTTATTCAAAAAGGTTCTCATATTTAATTCATTATAATTACTCTCATGATTTATTTTGATAAATCATTTCGAAGTTCATATCATAACAATTTCTTCATTTATTCTTGATTTGGGTCAGTACTCTAGTTCCCAATAAAGGTCACACAATAAGTCAACATATTGGATTTATCTCCATGAGATTTATCTAGATTATGATGTTGGATATGATCAAAACATATTTTATTTTGGTCCAGAGCCCAACAACAATTTATTTTAATCAAAACAATTTTGATTAATCAAATAAATATTCATTAAAAACTTTAGGATATGTTTAGGGGTGTTACATTTCTCCCCCTTAAAGGAATTTCTTCCTCGAAATTCTTCTAAGGTCCACAATCAACATTTTGTTGTATCCATATTTACTCATGACCGCGTTATGTTCATTCGGTTAAACCATAATTACGTCATTATCGACACAGATACATAATATCTAACTACCGTTGTTAGCAAACTTGTTCTATCTTTGAAAGATTAACAAAGATATCCAACGATCCTTTTGCAGATTTCCATTTGGAGTTTATCATCAATAACCAAGGTTCCTTTGCAGATTATAACATCGTATTTTGAGGCATATTTGACATACTTGTACATATCTTTGCTCATTCACCATTCCCAATTGTATAACATCGATTAATGATACTCTTCCTTTGATTGAAAGTCCTTCAGTAGCATTTACAGTTTCGAATTATCAAATTCGCAATAGATGTAGTGGAAGATTTGGAGGATATATACTTTTATTCATACATCGTAATGTTCCAAGTTACTCAAGGGATCGTAGTCTTTAGGGCATTAGAATTTTTGTCTCGAATTTGAACGTATTACACGACAGCGAATCTAACTTTTCATAAGTCTCGATATGACATATTGTCAGCAGATTGTAGTATTGACATGTACGTTCTAGTCTGTAGGTAAATCAAATCCATTTTACTGTATATATATTTTGGCTAATGATAATTACCTTTCCTTCAAAGGTCAGGTTTCCGTGTGTGTGTGTGTATGTATGTATGTATGTATGTAGGTATGTATGTATGTATGTACGTATGTATGTATGCATGCATGTATGTATGTATGTTTGTATGTATGTATGTATGTATGTATGTATGTATGTATGTATGTGTGTATGTATGTATGTATGTATGTATGTATCAAAAAATCCATAAAAGAACACCAACCATATTTTTTAGAACATTTGAAGTTAACACAATAAGGAAAACAAAGTGTAATTTGAATTGAAAATAAACTTTTACAGAGAAATTGGAGAAGAAAAAGAAATTTACAAATGTAGGGTTACCAATTTGAAGAAGATGAAGAAATTGAAGAAATTTGAGTTGGAAAGCTACTGCAACCTCTGACCAGAGATTCTTCCACCATTCCGCCGGATACCACCACTGGCCTTAGCTAGCCTCGTCGCTAGAGCTGCAGCCGACCGCCGCCATTGCAGCGGCTAGAGCCGCTGTTCTTTCTCGATGATTCCCCCTTTGTTCTTTTGATGTGCAATTCGTCATCAATTTATATGATAATAAGAGCAAGGGGCCTTTAAGTTCTTCACGTTGGAGCACTTGAGCGAGATTTGTGGAGAGACGTTGGAGCGTTCTTCCGTTCCAAAGTTGACGTTGGAGCATTCTTGCATTTCATTCTTGCATGAGTCTAAAGAGGAGGAAGGACTGGGCTTGTTTTGTTGATGGTTTTGGGCTTTGGCCCAAATTCAACTTCTTCTTTTCAATTTTGAACTCTAATTTGGTCTTTTGCTATATTTTTTTCTCCAAACAAAATAAGATATCTAATAAACTATATAGGTTAGGAAAAATAAAATAAAAATAATGTAACGTAAAAAATGATTAAAAACAATTATTTTTGAAAGAAAATTAAAAGATTGTAAAAATAGATATTAAAATAAAACTAAACTAAAAAACTAAAAAATAAACTTTAAAAATATTAAAAATGCCTACAAAAGAAATAAAAAGAACTAAATCAAATCCAACTTATAAGAAGATAATTAAAACTTATTGAGAACTGATTTGGAAAAAAACACATGGGAATTTAATTTTCTCATAAATTCTAACCTTTTTATGTGTTTTTCCATAAATTCTTCTACAAACAACTATACTCTGCTCAACCGCATCAAAATCAAATCAGGGAAAGGGAGAATTGGATTCATCGTGGTTCTGCCATTTGGTATTTAGGGTCCGTTCCGTAGGACTTATTTTTTCAACTTATTACTTATTCTTATTAAAATCAGATCAGACCAGACCAGACCTAATAAGATCAGATCACATCCAATCAGATCAGATCACACTCAACCAGATCAGATTAGACTCAATCAGATCAGGTCAGATCCAATCAGATCAGATCCAATCAGACCAGATCCAATCAGATCAGACCAGATCAAATTCAATAATATCATAAATTGATTTTCATAATATAAAAAGTATCTTTTCTCGTGTGATCGACCCTTACTTACCCTATCTATATGTTTTCATAAATTTTAGTTCATAAAAGGGGATTTAAGTTAAGGAAAATAATAAATTAATTTGTAGGTGCTACGACATGCCTATCAAATTTTGGCGCCGTTGCCAGGGAAAGATTAACTTTTATGAAAATCAGTTTGCTATAATTCAAAAAAGAATGAAAAAAAAATAAAACAAAAAAATTAAAAAAAAACCAAAACCAAAAAAAAAAGAAAAATTGAAAAACAAAACAAATAACAAAACAAAAAAGAAAGAAACTCCTAAAAAATGAAAAAAAATAAAAATAAAAAAATCACTAAAAAAGAACAGACTTGTAGTTTCTAATAAGACGCAGATACAAAAAAAGTGGGTTAATTTTTTTAAGTGTTTGTTTTGTGTGTCCTTGAGTCTATTCCAAACTCTTGCCTTGTTTTAGATTTATTTGTCTCTTTGGATTACTAGACAGTTTTTGGTCTCTTCATATGCTATTTGAGTTACGTCCTTTTAGCTCGAGTCATCTTTTATTTTGAATTTTAGTTATGTCTGTGTCAGTGTCTTTAGATTAATAGTTAGTCTATTATTTCTCTTAACTCTAACTTTTGGTTTCAACTTAAACTAATCTTTTAGTTTCTAACTTTAATCTAGCTAAATTTTCTTTTCGGACTTATTCTAACATTAGCTACTTTAACCTAGAGCTTTAACTTTTTTTTTCTTTAGGCATTGAATGTAGGCAAATTGAAAAGAGAAAAAAGAATCCAATTCAATTTTCAAATCTTCAGTTGGCAGCATCTTCAGTCATGTGAATCTCTTCTGTTAGAGCAGAATAAACAACAGAGTTCAGGTTTAAGGAACCACTATAAAGGTGCAAGGAGCTGAAAATCAGACATTGAGATGAGAATATGATTCTGGCTCGATATCTTTAGTTGCTACCAAAGTAGCTGCCACAAGTGCCCATGCTTCACCGAAAAAAATAGCACGCAGTAACAAAGCAAGGTTAAAAGCAAAATATGAGGAGCAAAGGCTTGACCAAAATAGAAGGGAAATTGCTGCATTTGCTATACATTTCAGTGAAACATTACCGAGAAGATGGTCATCAAGTTCCCCTTCAAACAATGCTACATTTTTAGGGAGTCTCAAGATCTGTAAAAAGAGTTGCATTACATCAGAGTTCAAGTTTGGATTATGAATGTTATGGCATAAGGATCAATTCTGTTGCATCTCTAAATGTGCAGTCCTACTTTCCAGGTAAGTATTCCTAGCTCATTCTCATCTTTAGACAGATTGTGTAAACACGTGTTCAATGTAATGAAGGGTTCCCTCTTGAAAACAACATACAACCTTCAGACCTGTTTTTTAATTTAGTACTCTTGTTATCCTAATGATTGGTTTTTCTAAGTACCCATGGGACAAGTATAGGCAATGTGCTAAGATGATTCCCAAATACATCATTACTTGTTCTTACTGGACATGTGGCCTAATCCACTTTTTTGTTCAAGTCATGCTTAATTGAGACAATGATTTCACATTGATTTAACGAGTTGGCTGTCTAAAAAAAATTGAGCGTGTATCCTGTGACCTGTGATTAGGTCTACTTTTTTCTAAAGATAAGAAAATAAAGTTTCTATTTCTTTTTATAACTTTTTTCTCCAATAAGATTTTAAGTGTAGGGGTTAAACTAGGTACTGGCCATACCTATTTTCAACCCTATTTTTCTAGAAGAAGCTATCATTTTCATTTCAACATCTCTTTGCTAAGTATAAACGTTTCCATACTCTTAACGTTTTCATACTCTTGCACATTTTATATGTTAAAGCTAGCTACAGAGTCTGCATTTTTCTTAGAGTTGAAAATCACATTTCCTAACTTGATAAGCACTAAAACATGGTCTTCAAATTTGAAAAAAAACTGCTCAAGAATTTAATAGGCTGAAACCTTATTGAAAAGTCTGTTTTGAAATCAACTTGTGAGTTTAGACAGATCAGGTAGGATAGTGAAGTAAAAAATAATAAAAAAAACTTGGGTTAGTTGGAATTGATTTGCTTACTAGAGCTTGAGATTGATTTTTTTGTTTGCTACTTTTCAAAGTCTTCATTGCTCTCAAGAACCCTGGAATCCTACCATTTTACTAAAGCCATGAATCTGTGTTTTCGAATTAAGTTTTCTTTATGGAACAAAAAAAAGGAATCAAAACATCTCAAATTTTTCAAAAAGACAGTCCAATCACTGTACTTCACATTAGGAAGATAAAAATGCATTTACATCTTGTACAGAATGAACTATTGGGATTGAAGGTAAAAAAAAGAGATTCTCAATTCTCTTGGTTTGTGCTCAGAATTTCTATTCGAAACTCTGATCCTTGGCTACATACTGTGTGTTATGTAACGTATGATGTGTATCTGGGACATAGTTTTCCGAGCTACACATAAAATTCCTACTTAGGTGTCTTCTACTCTTTTTGAGTACTTAGTCATAATGGTTTGAAAAAAAAACAGCAGATCTGATTAAGAAAAAACTAATTAAATAACAGAAACAATTTTTATAGCTCCCAAACAAGAAAAGGAAATAGTAAAAGAAATTATTTTGGTAACTTTCAACAAAAACAGAACTGTTTTTCAAATACTCTTTAGAGTTTGTTCTTTAAGAAGAATCACCCCACACCATAACTTCTAGTTTTTAAGAAGTTTGATTACTTTCTTGAGAATTTAAGTTGTTAGCTTAATGTGTTTATTTGGAAAATTCACTTATGAATATCACTAAAACTAGTTTCTTATTGTTAATTTTGACCTTGTGATTAGCTATTAGATTTGTTCTTGAGTTTGTTTTAAGTGATCACATGTTATTCAGAGTATAATATGGATTCTCCATATTGTCCCGAGCAGAATGAGGAGTCTAGCCGAAGACACTAAAGGATGGCAGCTTTCTACGAGGCAAGCCAGATATTTAAACTTTTACTTTTATGCATTTAATTTTTTATCATTAACTTGCTTTTTGCTTGCTTAATTGTCATAACTTATGATGCCCTCCCTATCATCGTGCATCTGTTTTATGATTCTACATGTTTCATGCATGTTGTTAGTTGTTTCATCTTGTATGTGCATAAGTTCATCATTTTTATATCATTTACATGCATTGAGGACACTACATGATTTAAGTGTGGGGACGCTTCTGCATTTAGGTAGGCATATTTTAGGAAAATTTTTTTGTTTGCATGTTTTTATACACATATTGGGAGCATGAATTGGGTAGAAAAAAAATTCGTTTCATGTCAAATTTTGCATTTTAGATGCAATTTGTTTAAAAAAAGTTAAAGTTTTTAAAATTTTTTAAAGAAAACAAAAAATCTTTCACATGAAAATCAATATAAGAAAAAGAGAATTTCAATAAAAATTAGAAATCAGAATAGTTTCTTTTAATCTTTTAGCACTATTAAGTGTTGCATCTTTGCATTAAATTGAAATTAATTTTGTAACCAGTATGTTTAAATTTCTTTATAAATGAGTTTGCTACTCAAAACTTTAAATCATTTCTTTTAAGTCAAATCTATTTGGAATTTATCTTTGTTTAATTTCATACTCCCTCTGTCCCTCATAGATCTTCCCAATAGCCCTTTTTCTTTGTCCACAATAGATCTTCTCATTTCGTTTTTTAACAATTAAAATACCACAACTACCCCCACTTACTTTATTTATTACACCTCACCCACCTCATTTAATACACTCCACCCATTTTTCATTAAGGGTATTATGGTAAACTTTCACCTTTTTTCAACTCTCCTTAAAAACCACCAAAAGTCAAAATGAGAACATCTTAGGGGGACGGAGGGAGTACCTTTTAATTAGCTAAGTTCAATGTGCACAATTTATTTAGAAATATATGGAGCAGTTTTCAAACTAACTCTTTTTGTCCTAAGTTTCTATTCAAGTAAAGTTAGATTTAAGAAAATCTTTTTCTTTTTCTAAATTTTGGTTATTTAAATATTATCAAGATGCTGAAAAAATGAATATAATATCTATACTGGAACACCATCTTAGGTTGGCATGGGTGGCATAGCACCTTTGTCCCCTTAAGCAACAGATCCCAAAAGAAAGTGATGTTGTGTATGGAGAAAACCTGAGTTGGAAGAGCAAACTCCGTTTTGGGCCGTACGAATCTCGTCCATAACCAGTTTAAAAAAGAATAACCGACGCCATTGAGCCAAAAGAAAAAAATAGAAAAAAGGCAATAAATGGCTAGGTAAAAATAAAAGAATAAAAAATGAATGAAAATATTGTTTGAGCACTCGAGTTGAAACCCTCGGAATACTTCGTTTATTTAGGTCCCGGGCTATTTGGAATAGAAATCATCCTAAATAGGACTAAAACATAGAGAAAAGTACCAAAATAGGACTTTCATGTTTTTTTTCCCAGAATAGGACTTTGCACTGTGGTAATGTGACTTTGTATTGTGGTAATGTGGCAGTGTACATGTGCAAATTACTATACTTTTTTGGTAATGTATATGACCATGTTTGGTAATGTAAGTCCTATTTCGGGAATAAAAACATTGAAGTCCTATTTTGGTATATTTTCAATGTTTTAGTCCTAGTTTGGTCTTTCTCCCTTTGGAATGTGACTAGGGTAGCCTGGTTGAGACTCGCTACACGGGTCAACTCAAACAATTAAAATTAAAATATTAAATCAAAGCAATAAGTAAAAGTTTCCAAATTTTGGAAAAGAAAAATAATTTTCTTGAGTTTTTCTTTACTTGATTGTTTCTTAGGATTTCTAACTATTTTTTGCTGCTCTATTTATTTCTTTTGAATTGTCCTCAATGACCTTAGTTAATTCAAAGTTTTGATATTAAATAAAGAAAATTTCTACTTAATTAGCTTGAAGTGAAAGAATTAATTTAAAATTTAAAGTAGCAATTTGATTTTTAAAGTGTTTAATCTATTTGGTACATGATTAATTTTTAGTTAATGTTAAATATATCAATTATTTAATATATTTAATATTATATATTATAATTATGGTTGTTATCTATTATAGTTAGAGTTATTATTATATAATATTACGTTATATAATTAACCATTAATGTGGAGGCTTCTAGAATATATTCCTCCACTTATAAATACATACTTTGTATTTCTCTTCTATGATTTAATCAATAAAGCGTAATTTATTTATTTTACATGGTATCAAAGCCACCGTTCTTGGTGACCTAAATTTTTCCACTTTTGCTTCTGGCGGGCAGCACCGCCATTAACCGGCGCCCGCCGAATCACTGTTTTCCTCTGACCCAAATTCTTCACCATCTCCTGAAACTATAAAGTTTTCTAGTTTCTTTTGTTGTCTGACGACTTTAAAAAAAGAAGAGGTCTAAATCAATTCCTACTCCTCTCATGGCGCCAAGATTGCAACTGTTCACTCGAGAGTAACATGAGGCACAATTAGTGGGTAGATCTTCGGTCAACATGCATCTCCGGCAGTACCTCATTCCTTATGTTTCTTCTCTAACCAGTCGCGCACGACTCTAGCGCGCGTCAACCTTCTCCCTCTTTCAACGTCAGCAACATGAGTCGGTATATAAGCGCTTGAGTTGAACTAAGTAATCGATTGGATTCAATCTCTTAACACGGTTCAATTCAAGTGTCTTATTACCCAATCCAGTTATCTATACCCCATCCTAAATTCTATCATGGTATCAGAGCCAGTTTTAACCCACCTCGTTTGTCAAGGTGTCCGTCTAGACGTTCATTTCTAGCGGCCCGTTAGTCTTTAGCCCAGTTGTCCGTATGGAGGTTGTACCCAACGGCCTGTGGCCTGTTTAACACGATTGCTCGTCTGGAAGTCCATACCCAGCGGCTCGTGGTCCTTTAGGTGTTGGCGCTCATAAAAAAAGTCAAGGGAATTGGAGTTCATTTGCAAGTGGTCAACCGGTTAGATTCAAAATGGCCCGTTTGTCCACTTGAGGGGGAGTGTTGGAGTCTATCCCACATCGGAACTTGTAGTGAAATAAATCGGTATATAAGCTCTTGAGTTGAACTAAGTAATCGATTGGATTCAATCTTTTAACACGGTTCAATTCAAGTGTCTTATTACCCAATCCAGTTATCTATACCTCATCCTAAATTCTATCAGTTAATGTTTCATGCATCACTTTAGGTTGTTATAAGATTGGGGAATTATTTTGAGTTTTAATTTCAACAAAAAAAGGAAAAAATGATTTTCAACATCTAGTTTGCACGAGGACGTGCAAAAGTCTAAGTGTGTAGGTATTTGTTGAGACACAAAATATCATATTTTTATTCCCTCACTTCTTAGATTTTTTTAATACAAATCATGTCGATTTTATACCTAAATAATCATATTTTGTTCTATTTAGCATTTTAGGGTATTGTTTACATTCTATACATAAAATGCATGACTTTTAGCATATTTATTCTACAAATACTTTGGCTCTTAAAAATAAGATACAGAGTGAGGAGTAATGGAGAAGCGCAGGGAACAGAAATGTCCACACGCAAGCACGGAAGAGTAGATTTCTCCTCCAAATCCATCTCTAATTCCTCAAATCCTACTCCTAATTGACGACTTGGATACTTAAAATTGAGCAACTATCAAAGGAGACAAAAGCCACAAGAAAAATCATCTTCTTCAACTCGAAAAGAAGATCAGGGACGAGCGAAACAGATCGAAGTAGAGGGAAAGAAGACCCAGCCTAGGGTACCGACCCTAGGTCCGACGGCGACGGTAGGACGGCGGCCATGTTTTGGAGCAGCAACTAGCTTGTCTCTGGCCGGTTCTGGGCTTCTGTGCACCGTGCGAAGAACACACTTCCAGGGAACATTACTTTTACTTTTCAATTTGATTTCTATGAATTAGGATCTTGAATTTGTTTAATTTCAAAGTTGATGAATTTGATTTCCAATATTAAATATGTTATTTTCAAATCTTATTTTTGTGTTAAATGTTTAAGTTATAATATAAGTGATGAATTGTTTAAGTGTTGTTGTTTAATTGTTCAAGTTATGATTTATTGATTGATTATTGTCTCTGAAATTATAAAACCTTCTTAAGCCGAATTGTTTGATAAAAAAGATTGAATCTTTGTTTGTTGAATTAATTTGACTTTGAACAGATTTGAGCTCTATGCTACTGTTAAATCTAAACTCGAAAAGGTGTTCTGAGAACTACTCCCTCCGTCCTAAAATTAATTTCCCAGTTTGACTTTTGAAGTCAAATTTTTAAAACTTTGACCGTATATTACGGAAAATATATATTGAATTTTCATATAAATTTATTATCAATAGATTCGTTGTGAAACATAGTTTTGAAATATGTTATTTTTGCAATATATATTCATGTAAAAATGGAGATATTAATGGTCAAAGTGTCGTATTGGAGACCGTGAAAAGTCAAATGGGAAATTAATTTTAAGACAGAGGAAGTATTATTCATCATATTTTACTTAAATTGGACCAAATTAGGAACGCGCGCCTAATCCAGTTTAAAATGTCATTCTTTTAAAGTCCAAAGTGCTTTAAATAGCCAAACTTTTCTAGAAACCAAGTGTCACTTGATTAGAACCTGCTGCCTCGATAAGTGGTTTTTGCTGATCAAGGTTCTCGAACTGATTTTGTTAAATAATTATAGTGTTACGGCAAAGTTGTTATGGTGATGTTTTCCGAAGATTTTAATGCGCTATTCTTAGTAGTAACTTAAGAGTTGGTCTTTGGATTGCTAAGGGTAGTAGGGTTTAGAGTTAGGGTTGGTCTTAACATGAGCTAATATGAATGGGAAAATAGGGAAGAACCGTTGGTGGACCTCTTCTTCAGCCTAACCCTGAGTTTAATTAGCAGTTTAATTTCAGAATCAAGATATAATTAATTGGGTAATTAGATTTGTTCAGTTTATTTTCTTGTAAAAATTATAAGTATTTTCAAAACAGTTTAAGTTAATTTTTATTGTCTATGTTTTTATAAAGTTTAATGTGTGATTGTTGTGTGTTTGTTTTTCCTTGAGTTCGAGTTGCTGTTGTGGGTCTATCTCTAATCTATTATCCTTATCTTTATTTTATTTGCAATTTTATCTTTTTAGAATTATCACTCAAACCCCCCATATCTTTTAGTTTTAATTTTTAGATTGTAGTTAGTAGTTTTTATTCAATAAAAGTGACAAGTAAATTGATTTTCATAATATAAAAAGTATCTTTCCTCGTGGGATGTATTGAAGATAATTGACTCCTATTTATTTGATATTGTATCTTGGTGTGAATAATTGTATTTATTTAGTTGTAGTTAATAATGGTAGTTTAGATCACCCAAATCTCTTGTACAAGGCTATATATATTTGGCCTAACTCTTAATGATATTTGTGAATCATTATTCCGTATATGGTATCAGAGCCTTAAAGGAAATTTTTTCCTCTCCCAAAACCTAACGCTGTACCCCAAGCGCCGTGCGTCCATCGCCGGCCACCTTCAAGCCACTCTTCGACGATCTCAGGCTTTCTCTCGTCGCATCCCATGGCACCCACCATCACCAAGGACACCCCCGTGGTTCAACTCCACGCCAAGATGCACTTTCCTATCAAATTGGTCTCCACCAACTTCTCTATATGGCAGCGCCAGGTTCGCTCCACGCTCATCGCTCTTGATCTCATCGGGTATGTCGACGGCACCCTCCATGCGCCATCGAAAGTCCTTGAAGGAGCGGCCAACCCTTGCTATTCTATATGGTTCCGTCAAGATCAATCTATCATTGGAGCCTTACTTGGCAGCTGTTCCGATCAGGTCCAGCCACTTATCTCCACCTGTGAAACTGCGTGTGAGGCCTGGACGAATCTTCATGCTGCCTTTGCCAGCTCCAGCCGTGGCCGCATCGTTTCCCTCAAATCACAATTAGGAAAAAACCCTAAAGGTGATCGTTCCATGTCTGATTATCTCTTTGATATGCAATCCATAGCCAATGAACTGGCCCTGGTTCAGAGTCCGGTTTCGGAGGAAGATCTTGTTGTTCATGTCCTCAACCAAGTGGTTGATGAATATGACTCCATCACCTCTGCTGCCCGTGTTCGTGCCGAACCGCTTTCGTTCAAAGAACTTGGGGACATTCTAAAGGAGCACAAAAAGAAAATTCAGCTGTCTGAAGCCACTCGCACTTTGTCCCTCGCCACTGCTAATTACACTCAGCAGCAGTCTGGTGGAGGTGGGAGTTCTCGCTTTGGTCAGCATCACCGTGACGGAGGTCGTGACAGTGGTTCCTCCGCAAACCGTTGCGGTCGTGGGCAAACGACCGGCAGGCCCGCACGGCAAATCGCGGGCAGTGGTTGCCAATTCTGCTCCATCCCGGGTCATGATGTTCGAGATTATCATAAGCTCGCCCGCTTCCTTCGTCAACATGGTCTTGCTCCCCCGCCTGTAGCTCACTCCACAGGGGTCTATCCGGCTACAGCTCCTCCGCAGTGGTTGTTTGATTCTGGAGCTAGTCACCACACTACGCCTTCTACTCAGTCGCTTCATTCCTTTTCTGACTACGGTGGTCCGGATGAGATCCGTCTGGGTAATGGTAACAGTCTTCGCATAACTCATACTGGCTCCACTTTACTTTCTACCCCTTCCCGTCCCCTTACTTTATCTAATGTGTTATGTGTCCCTCACTTGCATCATAATCTAGTTTCCGTCTCTCAACTTTGCCAAACTAATCATGTCTTGTTGAATTTTTCCCCTTTTCGTTTCATGTGAAGGATCTGAAAACGGGGGCGAAACTCCTCAGCGGGGACAATCTTGATGGGGTCTACTATGCTCGTTCCGTTCCTCCGTCTCCCCAAGTGCATGTTCATGGTGGAAGCTCTCTCTTTGACTTTCATCATCGCTTTGGTCATCCCTCTATTAAGACTTTATCTATTCTGTTGCGCCTATGTAATCGGTCTTTTCCTTTAAAGAATATTCAACAGTTTCATTGTTCTTCGTGTGCTATTAATAAAAGTCACAAATTGCCTTTTCATGATAATTCCCTTGTCAGTTCTGCTCCTCTAGAACTTATTTATTCTAATGTTTGGTCGTGTAAGGAACGCACTGTAGATGGTCATCTCTATTATGTTATTTTTGTGGATCACTATACTAAATATGTGTGGCTATATCCGCTTTCCCACAAATCTGATGTTTTTAAAGTTTTTCCTCAATTCAAAAATTTGGTGGAAAACTTTTTTAAACGCAAAATCGTAACCATTTTTTCTGATAATGGGGGTGAATTCATTAAACTGCGTCCCATGCTTGCCACTTTTGGCATATCCCATCTTACCACACCACCTCATACTCCAGAGCATAATGGTTCAGCAGAGCGACGCCATCGTCATATTGTTGAGACTGGCCTCTCTCTACTCCATCATGCACACATGCCTCTCAAATATTGGTCATTTGCCTTCCTCACTGCTGTTTACCTTATTAACCGCATGCCTACTTCCGTTCTTGATTCCACGTCTCCTTACCAAAAACTGTTCCATACCCTGCCCAACTATCTTAAACTTCAACCGTTTGGGTGCCTCTGTTATCCGTGGTTGCGTCCTTACAACACCAACAAACTTCAGCCTCAGTCCTCCCCATGTGTCTTTGTGGGCTACTCCACGTTTCAATCTGCGTATAAATGTCTTGACCTGTCCACTAATCGTGTCTACATCTCCCGTCATGTTCAGTTTGTTCCTCATATCTTTCCTTACCCATCCGTTGCTACTCCTTGCGTCTGTCACTTCCGGCCTCCTTCCTGGTCATATCTCCTCGGTTTGCCCTGACGGCGTCCCCTCCGCCGTCGACCACCCCTGTCTCTCCGCCTCTTAACCAACCCCCCCACATCTCGGACACCGTCCCTGTCCAGTCATCACCATCACCCTCTCCCGTCTCTTCTGCCTCATCGGCGACTGCGTCTTCGCCGCCTCGCCCAGTTCGCAATCGTCGTCCCAATGTCCGGTATTTCAACTCTGACTTCATCTCAGCTTCTCCTCTCATTAATCACGCCACCAAACACCCACTTCCCCTTACCCATGAACCTAAGACTGTTGCCCAAGCTCTCAAGGATCCTCGCTGGCGGGAGGCAATGGACGCTGAGTACCAGGCTCTCCTCCGGAATCAAACCTGGACCCTTGTTCCACGCGCCTCTCATCGGCCTATCGAGTGCAAGTGGATCTTCCGTGTGAAACGGAAAGCTGATGGCTCGGTTGAGCGTTACAAGGCACGACTAGTGGCTAAGGGGTACCTTCAGGAGGCGGGTCGTGACTACTCTGAGACGTTCAGTCCGGTTATGAAGCCGGTCACCATTCGGTTGGTTCTTAGCATTGCTTTGGCTAACCACTGGCCTTTGCGCCAACTTGATGTGAACAATGCCTTCTTACATGGCAGGTTGGAGGAACAGGTATTTATGGAGCAGCCTCCTGGTTATGTTGACCCCTTTCCATCTCACGTATGCAGGTTATCTCGGGCCTTGTATGGACTGAAGCAAGCTCCTCGGGCATGGTATGAGGCACTGTCTCGTTTCCTTCTACAGAGTGGTTTTCGGAAGGCCCAATCTGATGCCTCTCTCTTTGTCTATCATCGGGATGGTATTACGGCTTACTTTCTGGTCTATGTTGATGACATTATTCTTACAGGAAGTAATTCGGTGTTTCTTGACAAGTTTGTGAGTGCCTTGGCTACTGAGTTCTCTCTCAAGGATCTAGGCCCGTTAAGTCACTTTCTTAATGTTGAGGTGATTTCCACTGGTAGTGGCCTATTTCTGTCCCAATCTCAATATATCATGGACATTCTTGATGATGCTTCCATGACAGGGGCGAAGGACATAGCCACTCCCATGCAGTCTGACGCTATTCCTACACTTTCTATTGACGCTTCCCTGGTGGATGTCACGGCCTATCGCCGCCTTATTGGCCGTCTGCAGTATCTTGCTCTGACCCGACCAGATTTTTCCTTCACCGTGAACAAACTTGCTCAGTTCATGCATCATCCCACCGCTCGGCACTGGGCTGCTCTCAAGCGTCTTCTTCGTTATCTCAAAGGCACTATTCTTCATGGCTTATTCTTATCGAAGCAGGTTCCTTCTCGGCTCACCGCCTTTTCTGATGCTGATTGGGGCGGTATCACCGATGGGGGGCGATCTACCACAGCGTATGTGATTTATTTTGGTCCCAACATGATCTCATGGAAGTCTCAACGGCAAAAAAGTGTGTCTCGGTCTTCGATGGAGGCTGAGTATCGTGCTCTCGCAAACGCCGTGGCAGAACTGCAATGGGTTCAGAGTCTGCTTCGAGAACTTCACATCCCTCTGATCGAGTCTCCTCTTCTTTATTGTGACAATATCAGTGCTCTTCATGTTTGCAAGAATCCGGTGTTCCACTCTCGCATGAAGCATTTAGCATTGGATTACTTTTTCGTCAGAGAGTTGGTTTCGTCTGGGGCCCTACGTGTGGCCCATGTGCGCTCTTCGGATCAGTTAGCTGACATTCTCACAAAACCGCTTCCGCATCTTCTCTTCCACAAATTTCAGTCCAAGATTGGAGTCTCAAATGGATCCTCCATCTTGCGGGGGCATATTGAAGATAATTGACTCCTATTTATTTGATATTGTATCTTGGTGTGAATAATTGTATTTATTTAGTTGTAGTTAATTATGGTAGTTTAGATCACCCAAATCTCTTGTACAAGGCTATATATATTTGGCCTAACTCTTAATGATATTTGTGAATCATTATTCCGTATAGGATCGACTCTTACTTACTTTGTCTATATATTTTAATAAATATTAGTTCATAAAGGGGGATTTAAGTTATGGATAATAATAAATTAATTTGTAGGTGCTACGACGCGCCTATCAATAACTACCAACTCTGCCAACCTCTCACAAATTAGATAGAACCAATGAACTCTCCAGTCAACAAGAAACACAATGATGCTAACTTACTAAGTTTTTTTGTGAAAAAATGGAAATTGTTTCTCCCTCTTATATAAGAAAAAGAAGAAGAAGGAGACAAGTAGTGTAGTTGTGTAGGAAAATGAATTAGTGTGCTGGGAGGCTCCGTCTCCACAGTGCCCCTGATTGGGACCAATTTTAGTTCCAGTCGCGGAACACTTTTTTGTCCAACTTTTTCCAAATTGAAACCCGTTTGCACCGCCACGATCACAAAGTCGAATTCTATTCAACGATATACTTTTCATTATTATTTGTAATACTTTTTCTGACATCATATTTTTGAGTGGTTGACTTTGACAGAGTCAAAATTGATTCAGATGACTTTTATTCAAAAAGGTTCTCATATTTAATTCATTATAATTACTCTCATGATTTATTTTGATAAATCATTTCGAAGTTCATATCATAACAATTTCTTCATTTATTCTTGATTTGGGTCAGTACTCTAGTTCCCAATCAAGGTTACACAATAAGTCAACATATTGGATTTATCTCCATGAGATTTATCTAGATTATGATGTTGGATATGATCAAAACATATTTTATTTTGGTCCAGAGCCCAACAGCAATTTATTTTAATCAAAACAATTTTGATTAATCAAATAATTATTCATTAAAAACTTTAGGATATGTTTAGGGGTGTTACATTTCTCCCCCTTAAAAGAATTTCTTCCTCGAAATTCTTCTAAGGTCCACAATCAACATTTTGTTCTATCCATATTTACTCATGACCGCGTTATGTTCATTCGGTTAAGCCATAATTACGTCATTATCGACACAGATACGTAATCTCTAACTACCGTTGTTAGCAAACTTGTTCTATCTTTGAAAGATTAACAAAGATATCTAACGATCCTTTTGCAGATTTCCATTTGGAGTTTATCATCAATAACCAAGGTTCCTTTGCAGATTATAACATCGTATTTTGAGGCATATTTGACATACTTGTACATATCTTTGCTCATTCACAATTCCCAATTGTACAACATCGATTAATGATACTCTTCTTTTGATTGAAAGTCCTTCAGTAACATTTACAGTTTCGAATTATCAAATCCGCAATAAATGTAGTGGAAGATTTGGAGGATATATACTTTTATTCATACATCGTAATGTTCCAAGTTACTCAAGGGATCGTAGTTTTTAGGGCATTAGAATTTTTGTCTCGAATTTGAACGTATTACACGACAGCGAATCTAACTTTTCATAAGTCTCGATATGTCATATTACCTTTCCTTCAAAGGTCAGGTTTCCGTGTGCGTGTGTGTGTGTTTGTATGTATGTATGCATGCATGCATGCATGCATGCATGCATGCATGCATGTATGTATGTATGTATGTATGTATGTATGTATGTACGTACGTATGTATGTATGTATGTATGTATGTATGTATGTATGTGTATATATATATATATATATGGATTTTAGGCGCAGATACATTAACCCTAGTCGTCTATCAGAACGGAGAAGATGGCATGTCGCCGACGCCATTTCCTCGCACTACGCCAAAAACAGTATCAGACGACTGTTGATTAACTACTGTTTATGGAAACACAGTAGTTTAAAAAAATCAGACTACTGTGAGTTTTTCTTTGCTACAGAACAATAGTCTAGCTACTATGCTTTAAAACTGTTTTTAAAGTTTCGAGAAACGGTAATCTATCACTAGTTGTCTGTGTCAGTTCAAAATACAGTTTTTGTTGCAACAGTTATCAATAACAAGTTAAGAATACTTTATTTAAACAGTAGTATGATGTTTTAGTCTAGAACTATTTTTAAAATTATTAAAAACAGTTATCTATTGCTAGTTATCTGTTTCATATGATTTTTTTGCCACCGTTGTTTCTAATGGAAATAAAAGACTCTTTTGTAAGTGTTGTCTATGAATTAAGGGTAGAACTAATTTTAAAGTTGTGAGAAACGGTAATCTTTTATTAGTAGTCCGTTTCACCTAAAAATACAGTTTTTGTTGCCACAGTTGTCAATAATTAGTTAAGACTACTATTTCTAAAAAGTACTCT